CTCTGGACTCATGGTCCAGTAAATAATAAAAATCCTTATACCAGTTGGATTTTCTGTTACTTGCACCAAATGCATACCAACTGATCCATCTGAGGCAGAGTTTCTCACGCTCAGCACTACTGACATTTGGGGCCAGATAGTTCTTCATTGTCTGTGCGCCGTAGGATGTTAAGCTGTATTCCAAGCCTTGCCCGTCAGATGCTAGTAGCACCCTTCAGTTGTGACAACCAAAAAATGCCCCCAGGCATTGCCAAATGTCTCCTGGGGAGCAAAATGTCCCTAGGTGAGAACCACCGGTCTAGAGTAAATAGCTAGAAATGGAATCACCGGGTCACAGGGCATGTGCATTTTCAATTTTTCTAGGTCTGCCAAATTGTTCTGTAGCATTTATCCTCGGTTACCCTCTCACCAGTATAATTTCAAGTCTAGAGATTCTCTTGTTTACACTAAGCTTGGTTGCCTTCAATAAAGTGATTATCGCTGGAGCGAAGGACAATATGTCTGAATCGTCACAGCAGGGGTGCCTGTGTGACCAACCCTCCCTCTTGTGACTCCAGTAATCAAGGCACTAGGTCTGATTTAAGTGAGGTTCACCCTTCTCACTTAAAGTATTCATGAGACTATAATTATGGGCTGGTTAATTTTTTCTCTCCTGCTGTGGACATTCGTCTGCTGTTCCCTCTTTACTTGCAACAAAAAATCCTTAAGGGAGAAGTATCAGATGAATAATTAGGAGATCCCCCGAGGAGTTACCCCCTCTTTTCAGGTATCAGAGGGTTAAACAGGATACATGCGAGAGAGGAGAGCTGCCCTGCTCCTGGTCTATTGAACAGAGGGGACTTTCCTGGGAGTAAACGTAATGTAATTGAATATTGGACTCACTGAAATCTGAATCCTCTTCTTTTCCCAGTGGGTTTGGGTCAGGGTCCCTGTTCTGTTGCTTAAGTGGATGCTTAATAATCCCTATATATCAACGAGGACCATAACTAACATTTATTGAGTGCCAGGCACTTGGCTAAACACTTGATACCTTCTCTCTTTTAATCCTCCCAACAACCCAATGAAGCACTATAATTATTACTTCCATTCTACAGATGGGAAAGTGGAGGCTCAGAGAGGTGAAAAGGATGCCCAAAATACTGAGCTATGGCACGGTCGGGCTAGGGTTCAAACCCGGGTCTCTCTGGCTCAGAGCATCAAACCGCTCCTCTGTATCTCTGACTTTGATTCAAGAACTGTGTTGTTCACCAGGCCAACTCCTGGCATCAGCTCTGGCCCTGGCATCAATACACAGCTTCAGGAAACACAGGTGTCTGGAGGGGCAACACTTACCACTTCACCAAGCCACACGGATGAAAACACCGTAAGTAAGGCTCACTCCGTCTCAAACACCAGGATAGGTAATTATTGTCTTAACTAAAGAAAAGAAAGGCCTCTCCCCCCAACACCGGTTCCTGTTCTGAACACTTGAGTATTGATTTTGGTAGGAGGTAAGGGAATGATTTGGGGTAAGAAGTTTTTTGTTATTGATGACAACAGTTCTATGTACATCACCATGTATGTTTGAAGGAGAGAAAGACAAATCAGGATGCTTACCATTCATTCAATCAATCTTTCAACAAATATTTATCTGCTACAAGCACCTGCTATGTGCTAAACCCAGTTTTAAGCACTGGGATTCTGCAGGAAACCTGCGTGGACTAGAAAAATCTGTCTTATTTCTTCCCTCTGTGAGGGAGAGGTTGCACATCCCGGCAACTGGCAGGAAAAGTTTTCTCTGAATAAAAGTATCAACTGGATTTCATGAACGGTTTCTCAGAATCATCCCCTAAAATGCCTCTTCCCTCAAAAGTCTCCAGGAGGACATGGAAGAGGAAGAAGGGGACCATGTGAGCAGTCTTGGAACTCAGCCCTTCTCAAGAACCCAGAAGAATGTCCAAGAACACGCCCGGAGGTAAAAGCGGCCAAGGGATCGAGGAGTCGGCGGGGTTGGTGTCCCCTGAGGCCTTGGTGTGTACATGGCCACTTTCTTGAGCCCCTTCTTATAAGGACACTAGTCACCTTGGGCTAGGGCCCCATTCTAATGACCTCATTTTAACTTAACTACTCGTTAAAGACCTTGTCTCCAAATACAGTCACATTCCGAGGTCTGGGGGCTTAGGACCTCCACATGGGAATCTGCGGTGGGGACACAACTCAGCCCGTAACAGCCTCTCTCTGTCTTCCCAAGTCCTCAGGGGTGACATATCGCTAAAGAGCACAAACTCTGGGGCCAGACAGCTGTGTCACCTTGGATACGTTATTTAGACGCCCTGCCTCAGTTTGTTCATCCATAAATAGGACCAACAATAGTACCTGTCCTATCACATAGAGCTATGAGGAAGGTTATACAAGTTAATATGTCTAAGGCACTGAGAACAGTGGCTGGCACAGAGTAAGCCCTGGATAAGTGTTTACCAAATTAAACAGTAAAATCAAAAACTCATTTTTACTAAAGTGTTAGGAGAGCCTTATGTTACTCTCCCAAAGAATCTGCTTTTTCTGGACAATACTTAACATCAGGGACAGGATCGTCAATTCACAGCAGGGGAACCCTGTATATTTGAGGGTGCGGCCCCTCCAACATTCTTCACAGCACACTGCTTAGCGAATGTATGGTCTACTTTAAAATACTAACAGTAGCCAGCCTTTGTTAAATGTTAACAGCGTGCTGGACACCATGCAGAGGCCTTTATGGGTACGGTCTTATTTAACTCTGTGAGATAGGTGCCATCATTCCCACTTAATGCTTGAGGAAATGGAGACCCCAGAAAGCCCCATCTCAAGGCCAAGTTCCCCAGTTGGTAAATGGCGGGATAGGCCAGAACAACTTCAGTGTGAGGGACCGTCAGCTGCAGAGTCGGGAGAAAGAGGTCTTCTCTTTCCCCCCACTTTTCCAGCACCCCCTTCTCTTCACCCTCCGCTGAACGACAGGTCCCCACCGCCAAGGCTGCACTTTCTGCTACAGAAAACATCCAAGCGGCTGGGACCCGACCCAGCGCCACCTTGCGAGCCCAGCATTTCGAGGGGCAGGCTTCCAAACAGGGTAATAATCGTCCCATTAAAATTAATGTCCATGAAGTGAGCCGTTAAAAGCGTGCAGATTAAAAAGGGGAGGGAGGGAATTGTTCAATTTAAATCCAAAGGGCTTTTTAAATAGACACTGTATCTTCATTCTTGGAACGCTACACCGGGCAATGGATCAGCTCCCCTCTGCAAAGACTAGGGGGGATTAAGGAGGTGAGTCCCAGGAGGATGGGGAAGTGGTTCTCGCCAGAGGCAAAGGGAACCAAGGTTTATCCAGGGCCCACTGCGTGCCAGGTGCTTGGCATGCATTTCTCTCATTTAATCTCTGCCCCAGTCCTGGGAGGAGGTATTATTGTTCCCAGATTACAGGGGGCAGTATAAACCCGTGGTTAAGAGTTTAGAGCCGGCCACAGATGGCCCTAGGTTAGATACAGGTTCACTCTGCGCTAACTCTGTGAGCTTGGGCAAGAGGCCTTACCGCCCTGTGCCTCAGTTTCCCCAACTATAATGTAGGATAGTAACAGCACCATCTCCGCCTCTAGAATTGTTGGGAGATAGACTTTACATAGCTAGGCAGGGACCTTCGCCCAGAAACTGCAAAGAAGGCCACGTAAGGGAAGTGGTGACCATGGTTAAAGGTAGAAGAAGGAGGTAAGGAGCCCCGAGATCACACAGCAGAGCTGGCACCTGAGCCTTGACCAGGCAGCAGGCCGCGGGAAATTCCTCCTCCTTATAAATCCAGATCCAAACTAAGTTCATAGTCTTGAAGAGTCTTTTCCAAGTGACCACAAGACTCTCTGGGCCTTGGCAACACTCTGCCTTGGGAAGGACAGAATCGAAGGTTCCTCATCAGGTCCCAGACCACCGGCTTGGAGCCACCTCCGGGCTCTTCCAGTTCTCTGAATCCCGAAGTTATCGGAATCCCAAAGCATTTAAGATCGGAGATGGTCTCTTTCTCACCCAAAGAATCCTGAGGGCCCCTCGCCCATCTGTACCTTCGCTAGTAGGGACCACTCCAGACCCTCCAGGCTGGAGGGACAGAGAGGAACTCACGTGTCCCGCACCCCTCCCCCAACCGACCCCTTAGGGTCTCCACTGCACATTAAATCGGGGTCGCCGCTAGCAACTATAACCCAGGCAGGAAAAGAACATTCACAAAGGGAGCAGACAAAAACACGTTTCCTTTTAGAAAACCCCTTGTGAGCGTCTTTCGGATGCGAGTGCGGGGCGCAGCGAACGCCTGCCTCTGCGCCTGGCCGGGGCCAAGGACCGACCCCTCTAACCACACCCCCCCCCCCCCCAACCTCCAGCAAGGTTTCCAGCCGCGCCAGGGGTGCGTTAGGGTCTGGCCGCAAAGCCCAGACCTCGGGGGAGGCGGGGGGGGGGGGGGGGGTGTCTCGGGCGTGTTCAAATCCAAAGCCTACAGGTGCCGAGTCAGACCTGAAAGTAGGCAAGTTGGTCTGAATCTGGCCCTCTCATAAGATTTTGAATCAACCCACCTTCCCAAAACAAAACAATAGCCTCAGAATATTTTTGAATAACGCAGCCGAATTCGATAGCGGCTTCATCCAAAACGGCAAACAAGCCTGCTTCCGTCTCCAAATCGGAACTGGAGCTGAATTCAGGAAAAAGGGAAGGAAGAAACCTGCCCCGGCGCTCCACGCCTCCGCGGGGGTCCCCCGCGACCCCCCAAGCCCGGGACCTCGGCGGCGGGGCGCCTTCTCGCGTCCCAGCCCACCGCGCTGCTCCTCGCCCAGACCGCGCGCCCCCTCGCTTTCGGCGCCGCGAGGGTTAAAAGTTACCTCTCGGTTTCTTCTGCCTGCAGCCCCCCCTCCCCCCCCCCGGGGCCGGATGATGTAACCCCCCTCCTCGAGCCCTCCCCGCCCCCCTCCACCATGTGACACTTTAATTAATAATAGCGCCGTCAGCACAACAAACGCACAACACAAGGAGAAACTTGGTGTCCAGGGGAGGCCCCCGGCGGCTGGAGCGCGGCGGAGGCAGGCGCGGAGGCCGGAGGCAGAGGAGGCGAGGGGCGGCCCGAGCGCGGGGAGGGAGCGAGGCGAGCGGTCATGTGCCCGTGCCCCCTGCACCGCGGCCGCGGCCCCCCGGCCGTGTGTGCCTGCAGCGCGGGCCGCCTGGGTCTGCGCTCGTCAGCCGCGCAGCTCACGGCCGCCCGGCTCAAGGCGCTCGGCGACGAGCTGCACCAGCGCACCATGTGGCGGCGCCGCGCGCGGAGCCGGAGGGCGCCGGCGCCCGGCGCGCTCCCCACCTACTGGCCCTGGCTGTGCGCGGCCGCGCAGGTGGCGGCGCTGGCGGCCTGGCTGCTCGGCAGGCGGAACTTGTAGGAACGCGGGGCTTCTTGGTGGGGCCGGAGCCGAGACCCAGCCGGAGCGAGCAACAGGTACGCGAGCGAGAGAGCGCGCGCCAGGGCGCGGTGGCTGGGGACTGGAGACGCTGGGCTGGCCTGGGAGGGGCGAGCGGCAAGTTTGGCTTGCTTCTCTTCCCATCTCCTTCTTCCTCTGCTCCCTTCTCTCGCGAGGATCTCCGTCCCCCTCCTCTCCAGTCCCCTCTCTCCTTCCAAGTGTCACGTCCACCGTTTCTGTCCCCTTCTCTCCGAATCCTTAAGCGCATCGTGCCACTCCCTCCAGTGGGGTGGCTTTGGGAGGACTTTAACCTCCATAACCCCCACCAGCTCCTTAAGTAGACACACAAGTAAAAAGTGTGCTTGCAGTGAGAACGTAGTTAGAAGCCACGCCAAATGATTATCTATCGCGCTTTCTCGACAAGTCCTCGTCCTTTTCTGAGCCGCCTGCCAGTGCTAAGTCGCCGCCGTCTCCGTCACCTCCGCTCCACACCCTCTTCTCCCTAGGTGTCACTTCTCCATTTTCTGTTCCCCTATTCTCCGGCGCCCCGAGCGCAACTCGCGACTTCCTTCCCCTCCAGGTTCCCAGATGGCTGTCTTTCCGTCTAAGGCCTCCGCACTTTGCAGTTTTCCTCCGCGCTGCCAACTTCGCTCCTTCTCCAGCAAGGTGTCCCGTTTAAGGAGTTGGACTCTTCTTCACCAGAAGGTTGGAGCTGAGATGAAGGAGATGCCTCCGAAGTGGGCTGGGATCTGAGGCTCTTAGGGAAACTCCAAGGGGAAGCCTTAATGAAAGAGCATTTATTGAGCGCCTTCTGGATGCTAGGCCCTGTTTAAGGAGGCAGTGTTTGCGAGCTCGCTGTGTGCTAGGCTCTACGCGGTGGTGAGGATGGGGAGTGCATATTGAGCGCCTAGTGTGTTTGGTACCAGTGGGAGAAAGGTACTGAGCATCTACTGTGTTCTAGGCCCTTGGGGTTGGGGAATTATTGAGCACGAACTGTGCGCCTGGCACTGCGCTAGGCGCTGTCGGGGAGCAAACGTATAAGGATCGTCTTTTCAGAATCTGGAATAGAGAGGAGAGCTGCAGAGAATGGAGGTGGAGAGAATCAGGCTGAGCCCACCACGGGTGACTCTAGAGCTGAAGGTGAAGGTCGGAGGTGCGAAAGTCAGTGACCCTGGGATGCCGCGGCCCACGGGTGCCGTGCGCTCTGGTCCTGCCGAGACCCCCAGCGCGCCGATACCCTGGGAAGCTGGCGCGGCGCCCGCAGGCGAGGCCCGAGCGTCTGTGCCGGCGGGGAGAGGCGGCAGCCGGAGCGTGGGGGGTGGTAGCTCCGAGGGAGCTGGGGGGGTGCGCGGGGTGTGAGCCGGGAGCGCGGGCGACAGATGTCGCGTGGGTCGGCGCAGCCCAGGCGCCGGAGAAGAGGGGTGCGCGCTTCGGGGCGCCCTCCGCCCGGCTCCCGGAGGTCCCATCCGCTTCCCCCCTCCCGGAAGAGAGGCCCGGGGTTGCCCTCGGCCAGAAGGGACCAGGCTGGGGCTGCCGATTCCCAGGGACAGGAACGACATTTTAAACGGGGCGCCGGGGGGCAGAAAAAGGGAGTCGAGCGAGAGACGCGAATCCCAAAGCGTGGAATTTAGGGAAAGGCAGAAAGAAGGTGGGAAGAGAGGGAAAGAGAAAACAGGCGGCGAGACAGGGAGAGAAAGGAAGATGCGGGAGCTGGAGAAAAAGAGACTGCCAGGAGGACAAGTTGCAAGACGGTGGGAAAGTGAATCAGAAGGAAAGATGGGAAGCGAGAGGAATCCAGCAGAAATGGAGAGCGCGGCTAGGACACCTCTTCCTCCTTGGGTGCGGGTGAGACTGGGAAAGCGGACAAGGCGGCGCTGGGTGCTGGGCGCCCCACCCACGGGGCGGAGAACGCCAGGCGGGAGCCCAGCTGTGTGTGCGCGTCGGGGCTGGGCGTGCCGCGGGGCCCGGAGGAGGGGGCTGCGGGCCAGGAGGTGGCGGGAGACCTCCGCGCGGGCGAGGAGTTGAGAGACTCGGGCCCACGCAACAGGGGAGGGGGGCGGAGAGGAGTTTCGCTGGTACGACGTCGGCAGATAATTGTCGCCAGTTGTCGCCGAAGAGTTTATTTCCCCGCCTTCACTCTGCTTCTGCCCGAGTTCCGCGCTGCACCCGCCACCTCCTCCCCACACCCCTGGATTCTCCTTCCGCCTGCTCTATCCCGCCGGGGCGTCCCCAGCAGCCACACCCTCCAGGGTTCTCCCGCCTCGGGGCCCTGACCCCAGGAAGCCCGGCACGACCTTCCTCCAGCGCCGCCCCTCAGTCCCTCGGGACGCCGGTAGAACTGGGTACCACCCTCCTGCTGCGCTCCCATCCTGGGTTCGCCATGCTCGGGCTCCCAGCCTCCGCCCCTATCTCAGGAACTGGAGTTCTCTCCCCGCCACCCACCACCTGCAGTTCTGGCCTTTCTTGCGCTTTTGGCCTAATTGGGGACATACCTGGCTTTTCCCGGCCTCTGGTAAGTTAGGAAGAATTGAAAAGAAATCCACCGGCGGAAGACAATTTGTTGAGTTGTGTGTGGGGTCCTCCTGGCTTTTGCTACCTTAGAGGAGAGATGGGAATGCTCACAGGGTGCGTTAAGTGTTTGATGGAGGCCTGAGTCGGCCATTTAGGGCTGAGAGTTCTCTTAGGCTGAAGTGTGAGTTTAGCTATCTGCAGGACAACAGTTTCAACAAACTTGTTTGAGCCTCTGCTGTGAGCCAGCAATAGTTTTCTCAGAAGTCATCATTCACACACACACACACACACACACACACAGCTGAGACTGTTTTCCCATATGTAACATGGGGGTAAAATAGTACTTAATGCCTAGGTGCTGTCAAGAGGGTAAAATGAATTCATATACAGAAAATTCTAGAACAGTGCCAGGCACATAAGAAGTGGGTATAAATGTGAGCTATCATGATTATGATTATGCCTTTAGGATCTTTCTTTCCCACAGTAGACGACATTTTGCCATCGTCATTGGTGGCACTTCCACACCATTCCTCCTTGCTCTCTTGGGGAATCAGGGCCAGACAGCTGGGACATGTATGGCAGTTAAGAGCATGGGTTTAGGGATCAGACAGAGAGATTCAAGTCCCAGCCCAGGAACTTAGTGGCAGTGTGACCCTGGGTAAGAACCATAACCTCTCTGAGCCGTTATCTGTAAGCTGGAGCTGCACTCTTTCAGAGTGGTTGGGAGGATGATAGGACAGCATCCATTTGCAGTGCCTGGCACTTAGTTCACTCATCAGAGGATGGTATGACATGGATAATGCCATTCTTATTATTTCAAAGGGGAAACTGAGGCAGAGAGTTCACCTGAGTCATCCCAAAGGATCAGTGGCAAAGTCAGAAGTGGAACTGGAGTTTCTGACTTTGAAGGCTGGCTGGCTGACTTGGGAGATGCAGGGCAGAAGATACTGGGTGGCAGGCAGAGGAGGTGGTGAGCTGAGAATTCCTGCACTGGTGAGATTCCCTCTCCGAGATAGCCTCAGGGGAGGCTCCTTGGAGGCTGGGGAGGCCGGGAAGAGGATGGATGTGATTTAACCAGTCACTGCTGGAAGATGCAGGAGAGAGGGAACAAAAGATGCTTTATGGTGAGGTTGGCTGGCGGAGGCGTGGGAGGGAGGGAGGGAGAAGTTGCCTTGGGAGGGGACAGGGGGGGAGAGAGAATGGAGCCCAGGAATCTGGCTGGGAGAGGGGGCCGGGTGGGCAGAATCTTGCCTTGGAACTAAGGAGAAGGGGAGAAAGGGGGAGTCTGCAGGCCCAAGAGGAGACGTGGTCAGCGGTAAAGAAGATAATGGGCCAGCAGGAGCCTGCTGTAATGAATTAATGAAGGCCCGGCCCCGCCAGCCAGACGTGCTAACTGGTTCTTGGCAGGTACTTTGGGGATTAAGTGGTTAAACCTGGAAGCGCATCCCTCAGGCCTCCCTCCTAGCCAGCTGCACCCCTGCCAGGATTACTTTTAGAGCTTGAAAGCCTAGGCGAGGGGAGGGAGCAGTCTGAACCGAAGGAGACAGCTGTTGGGGAGGAGCCCCAGGAAGGGGCCAGCTGTGCAGGACCTTCCTGCCACATGGTCCCTGTCTGGAGTCACCCGCTTGCCTACTGAGAGGCCAGGCCCGAGGTAGCTGAGCTGTGGATGTAAAAACAGCCACACCTGGGGATAATTAAAGACACCCCCAGATGTGGGCCGGGTGGATTTGGCAACCTCTGGTTTTTGAAAAGTCAGCTTTTCAGATTACATTGGGGGTAGGGAGGGATGGAGTGGGGGCTTCTGTTTCCCCTCTGGTCATCACCAGTCTATGTGTGAGGGGGTTTCACTGGAACAGTGGGCTGCCGTGCCACATCCCTAGCCCCTGGTGACTTGCTTGTCACATAGTAGGTGCACAATAACTATGTAATGAATAAAAGAATCAATCAGAAACTATGCAAGATAAGTATTACTGTTTCCTGAATGCAGCTTCTTTCACTTATGCAGCTATTAACTGTTGAGTCCCTACTGTGTGCTGGGCACTATGGACACAGGAAGAACAAGACATAGAAGCTGCTGCTCTCATGGAGCCTATTTTAGTGGGAAGAGACAGATGATAAGTCAATAAAGATTTTTCTGGATACTGATGCTGGGTAACCCATTACGCCCAAACTCAGTGGCTTAAAACACCTATTTGAAGATGCTCATACATTCTGTGGCTTCAGAATTGGGACAGGGCATAGAAGGGATGACTTGTCTCTGCTCCAGGCTGGTTATGGGCTGGAATCATGGTGGGGGAGTTCGTCAGTTACAGGTCTGGCTCTGGATGCGGGCTGCCAGCTGGGACTGCCAATCAAGAGCATCGATTCTCAGCTTCCTCTTGTGGCCTGGGCTTCCTCACAGCATGGCAGCCTCACGGATCAGAATCCAGCGACTCAGAGCTCCAAAAGCAAGCATCAGGGGGACCAGGTGGAAGCTGCTTTGTCTTTTCTGACCCAGCTTCAGAAGTCACCTTGATTAGAAGCAAGT